GCCCGCCATGGCAGGGAAGGACAGCAGCATGCAGGCGTTCGTGATGGACTTCATGCTCGGCGGCGTGTCTGGCGCAGTGTCGAAGACGCTGACTGCCCCGATCGAGCGCGTGAAGCTCGTGGTGCAGACGCAGGATGCCAACCCGAAGATCCGCAGTGGGGAGGTGCCCCGCTACACCGGCATGCTGGACTGCGCCCAGCGCATCATGAAGGAGCAAGGCTTCAAGCGATTCTGGGACGGCAACCTGACCAACTGCATCCGCTACTTCCCGACCCAGGCCTTCAACCTGGCCTTCAAGGACACGTTCAAGAAGATGTTCCCAAAGTACAACCCAAAAACCGAGTTTTGGCAGTTCTTTGGCTCCAACCTGGTGTCGGGTGGTTTGGCAGCCGCCGCCAGCATGACCATTGTGTACCCGCTGGACTATGCCCGGACGCGCTTGGCGTCGGACGTGGGGTCCGGCAAGAAGACCTTCAGCGGACTGGGCGACTGCATCGTGAAGACAACGCAGGGCCCCGGTGGCTTCTTTGCCCTGTACACTGGCTTCGGCGTGTCTGTGTGCGGCATCATCGGCTACCGTGGCTTGCAGCTGGGTACCTTCGACACCATCACCGGTTTGAACCCCTACAAGAAGGACAAGGGCATCCTGGGAGCCGTCAGCACTTTCGCCGCGGCGCAGACGGCCATCACCATCGGTGCAGGTGCCACCTACCCCTTCGACACCGTTCGAAGACGCCTGCAGATGCAGTCCGAGAAGCCTCCTGAGGAGCACATCTACAAGGGCACCGCTGACTGCTTCAAGAAGATTGCCGCCGAGGAGGGCCGCGTCCCCAGCTGCACCAAGGTGGCCGGATGCCAAAGGCACAGGCAGATACAGGCAGCTTAGGAGGTAGGCTTTCGGCTTTCAGAACTTCAGGCTTGGTGGCCGGCCTCTACAAGGGATTCCTGGCCAACGTCGTGCGCAGCGTGGGCGGCGCATTGGTGCTGGCACGGAGCCCCAGACCCACGGAGAAGAATCGCCAGAAACGCAGATTTCAATACCAAGCAGCCCGCGCCAGGTGCTCTACGACCGTGCGAAGATGTACCTCAACCTTTGAGTCTGAGGCTTTCGCGCGGGACGGGGAAACGTGCGCGGAGTTTTCGGAGACGCTATAGTACTATAGTAGCTAGCGCTTAAGTTTACCAGT